ACGATAACCCAGAAGATTTTCTATTTTTGGCCCGAGGTACTTCCGAAAGTTTAGGAAAAGTTTTCAAATTAATATTATTTTTCCATGGAAAACTTTCTGCGCCATTTTGTTTCAAAATTTTTCTTAAACTTTCGGAAGTCCCCCGAGCCAAAAATAGAAAATCTTCTGCGTTATCGAGTGTGATGAATACGAAAAATCACTTTTCAGCAACTCTAAACCAACTTTATTTTTTTTGTTCCGGTGATATGACTTTTGACCGCAAAGTTTTCGCAGTCCGCTTTTGATCCGCTTTTCAGGAATTTTGGAAAATCCTCCTTAACCAGCAAGTGGTTCGTTTTTTAGTGAAAATATCTTCGCGATGGCTCATCGAAGACCTTCTTGTCTTGTTTAACTGTGAATGGATGGTAGCAGCCGTAACAGATATACAATCGGTGCAAAAGTATACTATACTTTCTCACCGAAAAAACGGCTTACAAACATTTTCCCAATGATTCGGAAAATGTCTGTAAGCCGTTTTTACTATGGTGTCAAATTTTGATCGTTAAAATTGCCGATATGCAACAACAAATTAGTGAACAACAAGTTCTTATTCAGGAACAACAACAGATAATCCTCCAATAGCAGAGTGATCAACAAAAATGTGTTACATTTTGCAATAGTGAAATAATGAAAATAAATAAAAAGCTGGCTATCTACGAGGTTAATGTAAATTTTCACCAAAATTATATAACTAATATTATGGAACCTATGTTTCTACAATTTGTGAAATTAGCAAAGGCGTTACAACAAAAGAATATAATAAAAGATAATGTGGTTTGGGACAAAATTAAGCAATTAAGTGATCACCATACGAATTTGCAAGATCAATATATGGTATGTAATGAACAACGATCCAAGTTACTAAAGACACTATCGAATGATGATCAAATGTTTGTACAATGACGTTATCTCCTTCTGCGCCTGAGTTTTTCCCAAGTGTATATCAGTCTAAGCGGAGGTTCAATATGTATCTGGCGCTCTCACTCACTGAATCTTTTTTGTCGAAAAATGATCTCTCTCTTCTGACTAATATTGTAAATGAATGATCCTCGTTTCCCACCCTGACGAGTTGCTTTTCATATTGGAAATTATATGTGAAGAAAAATATGTCATCTATGTTTACGGATTTAAATGTTCTTTTATTTAATGTGAGAGGGTTATCGGAACGGTGGCACGAGGTTCTTCTTTATTTTGATAAGTATAAGGTGGATTTTTTGATCTTAGTTGAAGTTGGCTTGATTGATCCTAATTTTCTTTCAACCATATTTGCAAACTATAAATTCTTTTATCAAGCGAGTGAAAATAGTTGGGGTAGTGTGATAGTTGTTCATCGAACACTCCCCAGGTCGAAGAATCGTACGAGCAGATCATACAAGATCGGATAGGATCTGATACGATTGTTTTGTATGATCGTACACGAATCAGTATGATCTTGACTAATTGTACAATTAATGTACATACGAAATGGTACGATCGACGTCCGAATCGTGGTCCCTGAAAAGCCACAGAGTCCAGACTATAGGTTTCGTACAACAATCGTAGCCAACAATGCAGCTCGATTCTTTAGATAAGAACGTAACCAAGCCAGTAGGTGCAAAGGACAGCCCAGTCTACGAAGTTTGAGCCATAAACCTTTGTACCATAGTTGATTAAACGCCGCTTTAAAATCGACAAATAATGCTGCTGCAGCGGTATTTTGATTTAAACTTTGACCGATCTGATCATTAATTGATACGATTCGCACTGCCATATTATGGCCCTGTCTAAAACCAGTCTGTTCATCGGGAAGTATACCGGCATCTTGAACCCATTTACGAAAATGAACAAGAAAACATTTTTCATACATACGATTTGATACGCCATCCAATCCGGATGAATTTTTGTTCTTTAAGGATGAGATCGCATTTTTTTATGTGCTTATATGAAACAAAAAGCGATTGTAAAGAAGAATTTTTAATTTCATCGCTAATTTCTGCATCCACTTTGTCCGCTTCCATTTCAATAGAAGAGAAAGTACTTAAATGTTCAGAAAACTGTTCATTATAAAACTGCTTTGCTATTTTACACATTTTACTAGGAGAAGCAATCACATGGTTATTAGAAGAGAAACTAAGAATCGGTGGGGCACGCTCCCCAAAATGACATTTGATTTTTTTCCAAAACGAGGATAGGTCGTATTGGTTTAGTGTTTTACAATAATTTTTCCACGATTGTGCCTTATAGACAAAAATCTCTCTCTGTATTGTTTTTGTATATGTGTGTAGTGCGTTCACAAAATAAGGGTGCCGAGTTTTACGAACAAGTTTTAGACACTGTCTTTTACTTTTAATTAGCTCAACCGGATACGGAGGTAACGATGGTCTATAAGAGTCACAGTAGTGGACAAAAGTTACACGCGCTGAAGCTAGAGCCAGAAATCGTTCGTACATTTTAAAAAAATCCGTCTTATCTGCCGTATTTTTACATAAATCCTTCCAAAATATTGACGTAAACACTAAAAAAAGTTGAAAAACTTTCCAATATGTACGTTTGACTGGGTGAACACGGTCCTTAGTTAACAACTTTAAAGTAGATGACCAGAAAACCGGATAATGGTCACTACCTACAGAAAAAGTAGGTGACATAAACCAACTAGGTACAATGATAAGGTCGATCGTAGCATTTGAGCGCGTAGGTGTAGGTACAAATTTGTTAACAATCTCGAGGGAATATGTACCATTTGACATCCAATTATATAATGCCTTTCCCTTTTGATTTTCTAAAGAATTTGACCATGAAAAATGTTTTGCGTTAAAGTCACCACATAGAACAGTATTTTCGTTTCGATGGAAGATTTTATCAAGAAGAGAAAAAGGAATTTGCTTCAAAGGAGATGAATAACACGTGGCAAGCTGAAACTGTTCTGAAGATATACCTACATCTATAACCAAGAGATCGGCAGTATTCTGAAAATTTATAACACGACTAGAGGGAATAGAGCGATGCACCGCCACTAAAACTTCGCCAAAAGCATTTAAACCGCTTTGTGCGTATACAACAAAATTCTTAAAGTGTCTACGAAAACATGCAATAGTCGTTTCATCATGATGTGTACCATTCAAAATAATAATCGAGGCGTGTGTAAAAGTTAGCAGTTCAAAAACATCATAAAGATGAGCATTTAGACTACCCACATTTACTAAGAGAAAGGAAATTTCAGATTTTTCACCTGCCATTATGTAAGTTCGTTTTTGGTGCACTTCCCAACCTGTCAATAATGTCTCTAATGTTATGGCATTACTCCATTCGAACAGAAGCTCCTTTAGAATTTTTATTTGTTTTTTTGATAAATCACCAACTGGAATGTTATAATCACTTCTTTGATATGGAACAAATTCTGGAGCATTTGGATCCATGACATAGTTGGAAAATATTGAATATTCGATATTGTTTCTGATTGATTTATCCCTTGATTATCAATTAATACAGAACTTAAAAACTGAATATATCTGTTCAGGAAAGCCATCAGCAGCTCATATTTTAAATTCTTTAGTTTCTCAGTGAATGTGATCATTTGCACCCTATATGGTCGTCCATCTTACTTGACAGTACAAACCGTTCCATTGTAAGACTAAAGCTAAGATTAGGAAACAGATGGCTATAATTGGTTCCTGTCGTGTCTTTGGTTCGACGAGTAACTATTTTAGGCGTGTCTTATTCTCTACGTTTGTTCTCACTATATTTACGTGGCTTTTTGCTATCTGTCCCCTTTTCATGCCTTATCAACAACAAGACTTGACACATTTTTATTATACCTGCCTTAAAAGGATTTATTATGTTACACAATTAAACGACATTCTCTTTTCTCATTACTATGATGAAATTTCGCTAGAGGATAGATATGCTAATTTTGACCTGAATCTTTTTTATTCAATTATCAGATATATGTAGCGAGTTTCTTTCTTATAAGTTTTCTTTCTCTTTTTTATATTGTGTATTCTATTTTTGAAATCTACTAACTAATTTACAGAAATTTTCATGGAACTTTATTGTATTTTGTCTTACTAGGCCCACAAAGGGCAGTAACAAAGCATATATATATATATATATATATATATAGATCTAGAATATTTATAGAAATTTTTAAGTGCATTAAGTCATGGTTACATCAAAGTGTTTGAGAATTCAAAAGACGACGATGGATATAAACTAAAACAATGAGGATGACAAAGTTAATTGTTTTTGTATTTTCTTTCTGATAAAAATAGTGTAAGAATCCATATTTTAATAAAGTGAAGCCTACAAGCTATAAAGCCTTCATTTCCCTCTATCTATTATATATAATTTATATTATATACAGTTTATGAATCCATATTTTAATAAAATAGGAACTAAAAGCTCATTTTCCAAAACTGAGATCATTTTTTTCTTAATAGAAAAATCGTTTTCCAAACTCATATCACTTTTGAAAATTGATAGAATATGCCATTTCCAAACTGAGATCAGTTTTATTTCTTTAATTATAAAAAGCGATCTCAATTAAGAAGCCTCGCATTTTTTATACTTTACCTCGCAGTTTATTTATTCAATTCAAACGTTTTGATGTTTTATACACCTTCTTCATACTTTCATTTTTTCTTTGTTCAACAGACATCAACAGAACTCATAACTTAAGACCAAGAGAGAAAGGAAAGGTAGTGAAAAACTAGTGATTTTTATCAGTATCCTAATTTACATTTTTAGATGCTGTGAATTTTAGCTTTATATTTCTTATCGTTCAGTTGTGTTTTCTTAATTATTTATCCACTGAAGAAGGTGTATAAAACACCGAAACGTTTGGATTGAACAAATGAGTGAATCGTAACTTTTTTGTATAGTTGGATTATAGTAGTATTTGACCTATAACTATTCTTCGTGTGAACCAACCTTAAAATTTTTTTCCAGTGTTTTCTCCGCTGTGTCTTCTGCTACTTGATCAAATTTAATCTCTTTAGCTCATCATCTTACTGAGATATGGGGGTCTGACTTTGAAAAAATGCCGCTTTTTAGTGTGGAGCTTAAGGAAAAGCGGGTTTTCCAAGAAGAGAAAGGAAGAAAGAAAAGAAGTGAATCGGCTATTCTGTAGAGCGCTCATTCTCCTATTGAAATATGTGATTGATTCTTCTACATTTCTTTGTTTGGATGCGCATCTGATAGCGAAACGCTTTTACAGACACTGTAGAACGAGATTAAAACGCAAGTGGCAAACTGTACAAGAGTTGTTTAGCAGAATTAAGTTGTCTGAAAGATAGAGCGCATAATCTAGTATAAAAAGCAAGTAAAAATATTTTCGAAACTCTTTTAAAATAGTCGTAAGAAACGAAAATATAAGTTTTTTACTCACTTTGTAGAATGACATTTTGAATATTTTATCCTTTGTAACTCTTGAATACTTCACCCGATTTCGTTCAAACTTTTATAGTAGATAGGGATCAAAAAGTTCTATAAGTTGTGATGACCTATCGATTTGTGGAGGTCGGGGGCAGTATTTCTAGTGTGAGGGCACCAAGGCCTCATTTGTTCTCAATGTTATATATATCATTTTGTAGCCCGTAAAAATCTCTATTGATTGATATATAAAGTGGAGTGGTTAACGATAAATTGGCTGGACAATATAAGCGAGGAACGCTGTTGACCTATCGACTTGTGGAGGTCCGGATTAGTATTTCTAGCGTTATGACACCCACGCTCCATTTGTTCTCAATATTATATATATCATTTTGTAGCCCGTGAAGTTCTGTATCGAATGATATACAGCAGTTCAGGTTTACTTTGAGCAAAGGGAAGAAATGGGGAAAATACTCTAAATAAAGTTCATTTAAGGGGAGAAAAGTTTGGATGTGGAATTTTTGCCAGGGGCGGTTAAAATGTTTTTTTTGAGATGCTAGTTTTAATCACGGAGAAAAACTACATCAGACTTTGTGAATATGAGCTTGATCTGAGAGACGCCGATTTTGCGTCTTATCGACCCCCGCCTTTTACATTATTCGGCGAAATGTAGAACGAGATTATTTTTTTTGGAAATATCTTAAGTAAACTAAAGGCAAAATACCTCTACCATATGTCATTCGATTCATCTCGTCATACAGAATCAGCCTAGATACAAATGCCATGCAGAAAAAGGTTTATGATGAGCAGGAAGCTCAAACAACAGCCACTCGATTCCTCTCGTCGAGATCTATCGAATGGAATATAAATACATAGGTTTTCAGTTCGCTTTTACTGGCTTTTTCCTTAAATAACCTTCTGAAGGCTATAGTTACACTTGAATGCCCTATATCTCGGTTATCATGCAACCAAATGTTGGAAAAACTTTGTCTCATATACTAGAAAGGGAGTACAACAAAACATACGACTCAGAACTGTTTTATTCTTACTTTGAATAAAAGAAACATGCTATCTACTTTTTCAAAACAATTTTCCACTTTTTGGATGTTTGAGATAGCATCCCTGTCCAAGCGTATAAAAACAGTTTCGAATCTCAAAATAAACTCTATACTACTGCAGATGTTTTGCACGTTGATAAATCTGTAAGTATGAGTATCTTTTATTTTAATGAGTTTTTTTGAGGACTTCATCAGTTCATATTTTCACATTCTGAATACGTTTTGACATATAAGTATCTCTTGCGTAGGTTGTGTGAGAAGGTAAAACAGTAAATGAAAAAAGTCTCTCGTCCTTTGGGTATCGTCGAAGATTATAAAAACTGTAATGACGTATTAACTTAAGTCCGTAATATTATAATTAACTTTTTGTTCTACGTTATATGAGATGATGATTAACAAGTTGTCACATGCAAACAGACACAGTAATGGAAATAAAGTGACAATCGCGATTGACTTGCGGAAAAAAGGTCCGTTGTGTTTGTTAGTAAACCGTTGTGATTAAGTATTTATAGAGACTGTAAGAAAGTGAGTGGCTTATCGGGGCCCAGAATAAATGGTCCTCCTCGTATTTTACTTACAGCTTTTTTTCTTTTCAATCCTTGACTTCGTTGTTTTTGCCAAAAGATGAAGATCACTTTCATTGAGCCGGATGATAAAAGAAGAAGATATATGCATTTTGTAGTCCTTGAAAAGCTCTATCAATCAGTATTAGGTGCACAAATGCAAAATCAAACTTTCAGACTTACATCGACTTTCTTCTCTTTGAGGATGAGTTGCAAAATCCAGCTATTTGAATGTGTAGATTCGGAGCGCCTTGAAAATGCTGCATAACGAATCCAAAATAGCACCTTTTTAGCTCGGTCTTTTTTTATTTTGATGAGATGATGAATTTGACGGCGCATCTTTTGGAAAAACAATCAGATTTAAGAACGGAAAAGAAAGTTGTAAGCAAAATACGAGGAGGGCCATTTATTCTGAGCCGTTAGATAGAGATCATTATAATCGCACATAGTTTATTGAAGATTATCAGAGTATACACAAAAAATTATGTCGCCGTTATCGTGGCTTACTATTGTCAACTGGATGACAATTCTACTGTCTACGACAGCTATTGTATTTTCGCTTTCGTTCATTCTAATCATTTTCTTCCATGCACGTCAATGCATATCAGTGGGCAATCTCCTTGCCTTGAACACGTGCCTAGCGACGACGGTGCTCGCTATCACAACATTGATCAACACCATCTTTATGTACTTACATGATGGTAACCAATATCAGATTGATTTGAAAGTGTGTCTTTGGCGTGGCTATTTCATGTACGTTGGCTTGTTTTTACTCTATGTTTCTGTTTGCTTACAAGCTTTTTATCGTTATGTATTTGTCATTTATCATCAAAACATCGCGTTACACACATGCAAATTTTATACCGTACTGATTTTTGTTCAATGGTTGTTTGGTCTGTGCCTATTACTGACATTATTTGTAACTGGTCAAATGAAACATATTCAGGGAGATGCCATTTGTCTAATCCCGTTGACGACAGATGCTGTAGGAATGAAAATCGCCAGTTCAGTATTCTATCTCGTCTCGCTCATCTTCATTCTTTTCATTTATGTACGAATCGTTCTTCACGTGAAAAATATTGGCCGACGACGACGAACGGCACTCGTTCCACACTGCACTTGGATTCGGGCACAACGCCAACTAAAAATGATTAAACATATTATTATTATTACCCTTATTCTTGTATCATGTGGCTTTCCTTATTTAGTGTTTGTTATTTATTCACTATTTGACGAACCATTCGAACAACATTTTCGAATAAGTTTCATATTTATTGCTCTCTCACTGGCTGTGGTCTCAACAAAAATGTTATATTTCACTGACGATGTCAAAAGATTCTTTTCGATTATGTCGGACGAGTAAAAAGGGTGAGCGAGATGAATTTGCTTCACTACCGACAGCGGCGGATTTAGGGGAGATACACTTGA